CGTTGAGCGCGGTTAGTACTTAAATGGGTGACCGTTTGGGAACACCGCGTACTGTTGGCATCTTTTTTTTTTTAAGTTATTAGTTCTTTTATGTGGTTTTACATATGCTTATTTTATATCGTTATAATTTTTAAATTTTACATGTTATTGATTTTGCATTATATTGTATTATATTATATTGTTTGTATTAACATAATAATTTTATATTATAATAAATGTAACACGAAAATTAATATTGATTTGTGAATTAAAGCCTGTGCAATTTACAAATCAAAATTGATTTGTGAATTAAAGCCTGTATACGTAATTTACGAATCACATTTTAATTATGAATTAAAGCCGGTGCAATTCACAAATTAAAATTAATTTTGTTAATTGTACCAGCTTTTTAAATCACGAATCAAATTTTAATTTACAAATTACTTTTGATTTGTGAATTAAAGCCTGTGTAATTTACAAATCAAATTTTAATTATGAATTAAAAATTGATTTTGTTAGTTATACCAGAGCACCAGCTTTAAATCACGGGACCGGGTCGACCGGGATGGCCTCTCTCGGGTTTCTCTCTACTGTCTCAGCCGCTCGCAGCTCTCTCTGCTTCTCTCTGCTTACGGATTCGATCCGTAGGCAATCGTACGCTCGTGTGTGGTCGTTTTATTTTGTTGAAATAACAATTTTTAAAATATGGCGAATTTTACCGAAGACTTGTTTGACGTTTTTGATGAGCACGATACAGAGGGTGATGATACGGAGATCCCGCATATTGTAAAGTAAGTATAGCGATTCTTAATGCGTAACCTAACCTAATTTCTAGAGTTAACCTCCATTGCGGAGCACTTATTTAAACAAAATTTACTTATCTGAAACAAACATGTGCAGGAAAATCGAGCCAGAGACAGGAGTAAAGCGACAACTTGATATAGACGACGATAAGTCAGCTGTCAAAAAATTGCGACACGAATCCGTCTTGGATGACATCAAGTAAAGCTTCACAACATTATTTTGATTATTCAGAACAATCAATAAAATTGTCCTAGTTAACCCTCGGAAGACAAACGCCAGGTCACTTCTGACCCATAGTAAAGCCGTACTGTTTAAACAAAACCAGAGTCAACGTATGGATCATGAATGACCCGGCACTTGACTCTGGAGGGTTAATATTATTAATATTTATATATAAGATATTATAGTTAATGTTATTAATATTATTATAATATTAATAATATAATAATTGATATATAAATATTAATAAATATTAACAATTGATTACATCTGCATACATATATATTTAGTCCACAATTGTGCTATAGAAAAAAGATATGATCTAACTACATTCAACATTGTTTCTTTAGCCTAGAGGAGGTGGCATGTCGTATAAAAGTGCATACTGTAGAAACTGTAGAATCTTGTATGCACGAGATTGCTATCCCTCCTAATCAGGAGTATGTACCTTTGGAGCATCAGCAAGACAAGCCAGCCAAAGAATATAAATTTATACTTGATCCATTTCAAAAGGAGGCAATTTTATGCATTGATAACAATCAGTCGGTTCTTGTCTCCGCACATACGTCAGCTGGTAAAACTGTCGTGGCTGAGTAAGCGTTTCATATTTTATTCTTCAGAGTAATTTTTGCTAAACTTTTTTTTTAATGTTTTCATTCCGCCATCTTGTATGTTTCATACAGATATGCGATAGCGTGTTCTCTCAGGGATAAGCAGAGAGTAATATACACTACTCCGATCAAAGCGTTGAGCAATCAGAAATATAGAGAATTTCACGAGGAATTTAAGGATGTTGGTTTGGTAACGGGCGATGTTACTATAAATCCGACAGCGAGTATACTAATCATGACTACTGAAATTTTACGAAATATGCTCTACAGAGGTTCAGAGGTTAGTTTTATTTGATTTTATTGTTTTATTATATCATTACGATTATAGAAATAAAGTGTATGTTAGCTACATATACAATATATATACATATCTTAGATAGCTAATATAAAATTAATAACGAATATATTTACAAATGACATCAATGCTCAGTGGCAAATTATTTGATCAATATAAAGTCGATATTTATTTATCCAAATATTATTAAACGTTGGTATTTTGTGCAGAAGGAAAAATATAAGTGTATATTTATATAATGCTTATTACATAGGTAATGCGTGAAGTTGGTTGGGTAATTTTCGATGAGATTCATTACATGCGCGATAAAGAGAGAGGCGTGGTGTGGGAGGAAACGCTTATCCTATTGCCGGACAATGTACACTATGTATTTTTATCCGCTACTATACCAAACGCACGACAATTCGCGGAGTGGGTGACGCATTTGCACAATCAACCCTGCCATGTAGTGTCTACGGACTACAGACCTACTCCGTTGCAACATTATATCTTTCCAGTTGGCGGTGATGGTATACATCTGGTTAGTAGTAATCCGTAATGAAAAATTGTGCCTGCTTGATTGAAGAGAGATATATAGCCATATACTCTGGCTATCCATATACTGATTCTATGTACCGTAAAACAGGTTGTAGACGAGACCGGCCAATTCAAGGAGGAAAATTTCAATAGAGCCATGGCGTGCCTACAAAATATGGGTGACGCGGCTAAAGGTGACATGAAAGGACGCAAAGGTGGTCTACGTGCCACGAACAGCGGGCAAACGAATATCTTCAAGATGGTAAAAATGATCATGGAGAGAAACTTCGCGCCCGTAATAATCTTCAGTTTTTCGAAGAAGGATTGCGAGGTTTACGCGATGCAAATGGCCAAACTGGATTTGAACACGTTAGAGGAGAAAAAACTGGTAGATGAGGTTTTCAACAATGCGGTAGACGTTCTCAATGACGACGACAAAAAGTTACCGCAAGTTACGAACTTGCTGCCGCTTTTGCGGCGCGGAATAGGAATCCATCACGGTGGACTCTTGCCGATCTTGAAGGAGACGGTCGAGATATTATTCGGCGAGGGTCTGATCAAAACGCTTTTCGCCACTGAAACGTTCGCGATGGGTCTGAACATGCCAGCACGGACAGTCCTGTTTACGGCACCCCGTAAATTCGATGGCAAGGACTTTCGTTGGATCACGTCGGGTGAATACATCCAGATGTCCGGTCGCGCCGGCAGAAGAGGTCTCGACGACAAAGGAATTGTCATATTGATGATAGACGAGCAAGTTAGTCCCGTCGTTGGTAAAGCTATCGTTCAAGGAAAACCAGATCCAATCAACTCCGCGTTTCACTTGACCTATAATATGGTTCTTAATCTTCTCCGAGTGGAAGAGATTAATCCAGAATACATGTTGGAAAGAAGCTTCTTTCAGTTTCAAAATCAAGCTGGTATTCCAGCTTTGTATAACAGTAAGTCGTTATTGCCATTTAGCGTGACGTCAGTAGCTAAAAGGTTGTAAAGTGTATTGTTAATTGCTTTTACGTTTTCAGAGGTAAAAGAATTATCTACCGCTTACAATACCGTAAATGTGGACAGATATGACGAGATTGCTTCTTATCACGATGTACGCCAACAACTCAATCGGCTCAGCAAAGAGTTTCAATCATTTCTAACACGACCGGAGTACTTGGTTCCGTTTTTAATGTCTGGAAGATTAGTAAAAGTACGTATTTTTAACATAAATTTAATATAAGCCATCTCCAGCAGAATGTTTAGCGGAATTCATTTATTGTGTTATACATTATTATTATT